ACAGTAACAGCCTGGTTGATCAGGCCGTGATCCACTGGGAGGCCTGGTCGTGGACCTGGCCGCGGGGGCGTTGATCCCCGGAATATCCTCCAGATAGACTCCAGTAGTTGCAGACGTCGCGACGCCATACACCAATAAAATATGGTATAAACCTTGGTAATAAATACCGACAAGTTGGTTTAGAAAGACACGTAAGCAAACACTATGACATATTTATTAGAAAACGTTTCGGTCCTGGGACCTTGATCACTTCTAACATACAGAGGTATGTTAGAAGTGATCAAGGTCCCAGGACCGAAACGTTTTCTAATAAATATGTCGTAGTGTTTGCTTACGTGTCTTTCTAAACCACCAATAAAATATACCATGACAGGACTTATAGAATTGCCATGTAGAAATATTTTCCAGTGGAAGGAAACACGCCTAAAAATATATTGGATTACAAAAAACATACCCGATTTTTTTTTTGTATTAGAGGAAACATGGCTCTTCGTGTTATTTTATTGCGGGAAACATACGTAAAACATTGAGACTAGAGGAGAACGTTTAATATGTGGATAACGTCATTTGTGCTTCATATGTTTATAGATATATGGTTGAGAACTCGCCGAGTTTCTGGCCCGCAGCCAACTTATGATTGGCTGGAGTTCAGCCAATAACATGTGCTTTTAAAACTAGTTCTGAATTCTGATTGGCCGATGTCATAAAGTTATTCAAGGTGTGGAGGGGAATGAGATGAATAAGACACATGTACAACACCTGTCTATATTATGACGACGTTTAGTCAATCTGTGGAGCTTGAAATGCAATGCACAGATTATGACCGTAGAGAGTGGAAGATGAGGCAACCAGTCCCTCAGTCTTGATAGATGTTCAGTCTACAAGCATGTCTATGTCGGTCTAAAGCAAAGGCACGAGAATGAAGGCTTATATACAGGAGCCAGAGGAGAGGTGCAGCAGTTGAAGACAGTGTCACAAGTGGACAGGAACGTTGGGGGCCCAGTCCCTGGACCCATTATGTACCTCTGTAATCGTTTGACTACCGCCCACAGGATGGGTATGGAGTGCATAATAAAGATATAAAACTAACTCACTAGTGGAAGCAGGTCATGCCCAGACTTGGGGCAGAGGTTAGCAATAAGGATACAGAATATATCCTCTGTACCAGGATTCCACAACGTTACTGTGGCAGTGACTCAGATATCTGTACACTGTTTGAGATGGCTCATCAGTGTACAGCACCAGCGACACTCATCTACCTACGATATATACCTGGAATATACCTAGAGTATACCTGGAGGGAGTTTCAGGGGTCAACGCCCCCGCGGCCTGGTTAGTGTCCAGGCCTCGTGGTGGATCAGGGCCCGATCGACCAGTCTGTTACTGCTGGCTGCAAGCAAACCGACGTACGAACTACAACCCTGTTTGTCGGGAACTGACTATGTATCTGTTCACCAATTGCAGTAGATCACATCTTGTCCACTCTGGGAGGGAATGATAAAGCAGTGAAAAATTTGCACATATGGGTGAACCAAGTGCATCCTTCCCTTGAGTCATCCAGGAGGACAACAACACAACTTCCCTTCGAGTCATCCAGGAGGACAACACAACTTCCCTTGAGTCATCCAGGAGGACAACAATACAACTTCCCTTCGAGTTATCCAGGAGGACAACAACACAACTTCCCTTCGAGTCATCCAGGAGGACAACAACACAACTTCCCTTGAGTCATCCAGGAGGACAACAACACACAACTTCTCTTCGAGTCATCCAGGAGGACAACAACACAACTTCCCTTGAGTCATCCAGGAGGACAGCAACACAACTTCCCTTGAGTCATCCAGGAGGACAACAATACAACTTCTCTTCGAGTCATCCAGGAGGACAACAACACAACTTCCCTTGAGTCATCCAGGAGGACAGCAACACAACTTCCCTTGAGTCATCCAGGAGGACAGCAACACAACTTCCCTTGAGTCATCCAGGAGGACAACAACACAACTTCCCTTCGAGTCATCCAGGAGGACAACAATACAACTTCCCTTGAGTCATCCAGGAGGACAACAATACAACTTCCCTTGAGTCATCCAGGAGGACAACAATACAACTTCCCTTGAGTCATCCAGGAGGACAACAACACAACTTCCCTTCGAGTCATCCAGGAGGACAACAATACAACTTCCCTTGAGTCATCCAGGAGGACAACAATACAACTTCCCTTGAGTCATCCAGGAGGACAACAACACAACTTCCCTTCGAGTCATCCAGGAGGACAACAATACAACTTCCCTTGAGTCATCCAGGAGGACAACAATACAACTTCCCTTGAGTCATCCAGGAGGACAACAATACAACTTCCCTTGAGTCATCCAGGAGGACAACAACACAACTTCCCTTCGAGTCATCTAGGAGGACAACAATACAACTTCCCTTGAGTCATCCAGGAGGACAACAATACAACTTCCCTTCGAGTCATCCAGGAGGACAACAATACAACTTCCCTTCGAGTCATCCAGGAGGACAACAATACAACTTCCCTTCGAGTCATCCAGGAGGACAACAATACAACTTCTCTTCGAGTCATCCAGGAGGACAACAATACAACTTCCCTTCGAGTCATCCAGGAGGACAACAATACAACTTCTCTTCGAGTCATCCAGGAGGACAACAATACAACTTCCCTTCGAGTCATCCAGGAGGACAACAATACAACTTCCCTTCGAGTCATCCAGGAGGACAACAATACAACTTCTCTTCGAGTCATCCAGGAGGACAACAATACAACTTCCCTTCGAGTCATCCAGGAGGACAACAATACAACTTCTCTTCGAGTCATCCAGGAGGACAACAATACAACTTCCCTTCGAGTCATCCAGGAGGACAACAATACAACTTCCCTTCGAGTCATCCAGGAGGACAACAATACAACTTCTCTTCGAGTCATCCAGGAGGACAACAATACAACTTCCCTTCGAGTCATCCAGGAGGACAACAATACAACTTCCCTTGAGTCATCCAGGAGGACAACAATACAACTTCCCTTCGAGTCATCTAGGAGGACAACAATACAACTTCCCTTGAGTCATCCAGGAGGACAACAACACAACTTCCCTTCGAGTCATCCAGGAGGACAACAATACAACTTCCCTTCGAGTCATCCAGGAGGACAACAATACAACTTCCCTTGAGTCATCCAGGAGGACAACAACACAACTTCCCTTCGAGTCATCCAGGAGGACAACAACACAACTTCCCTTCGAGTCATCCAGGAGGACAACAATACAACTTCCCTTCGAGTCATCTAGGAGGACAACAATACAACTTCCCTTCGAGTCATCCAGGAGGACAACAATACAACTTCCCTTCGAGTCATCCAGGAGGACAACAATACAACTTCCCTTCGAGTCATCCAGGAGGACAACAATACAACTTCCCTTCGAGTCATCCAGGAGGACAGCAACACAACTTCCCTTGAGTCATCCAGGAGAACAACAACACACTTCTCTTCCTAGATACACTAGTGTATTTAAATTACAATAGGATCACTCAGACGTAGGCTTATTATAAATCTTCAAACATCCACCAGTATCTCCTCTGGACATCATTCCTCCCGAAGTCATTGAAGGAATATCAACATTTTTCACTATCTTTTAGGATTAAGAGGGTTACTAAAGAGCTTGCAACACAAGGACCGACCTTAGAAGAAATAGTCAACTTCAGGAGAGAGTACCCGGGATGAACTGTGTCCATAACTAGTGAAAAACTTGGTAAGATGGCTACCAAGCAACTTCTTCGCAAGACCCACAAACAATAAATAACAAAAAAAAGGCACAATACCGTGACTGGAACGATACACAAATAACCCGGTCCAAGTCGGACCGAAACGTCGTCGTAAGCTTCTCTCTTTTATGTGCGGGTTATTTGTGTACCCACGAACAAACAGGGAAAGAGACATCTTGGTCTCCCTGAACAGCCCAACAGTTCTAGACTAAGTTAGTATTTGTATTTCCATTGGGGTCCTTGTATTTCCATTTGAGTCCTTGTATTTCAATTGGGTCCTTGTATTTCCATTGGGGTCCTTGTATTTCCACTGGGGTCCTTGTATTTCCATTGGAGTCCTTGTATTTCCATTGGGGTCCTTGTATTTCCATTGGGGTCCTTGTATTTCCACTGGGATCCTTGTATTTCCATTGGAATTCTCGGGAGGAAGCTTCTTGCTTTCAGTATTTTCTCAAAGATCCTCGGCCCATGGCATGGGAAAAGGCCAAATCTTTGAGAGACCTTCTGGCGAGAGCAGATTTTTTGAGGAGAGAATCCTCAGATCACCGAACTTATAAAAACACACCTGAACTCAGTCCTTCCCACTAGAGAACACTTCCTGGTAGACTGACTCCTGCCACCAGATACCGTACCACACCAGTTCCTAACCTGGGGATCTGAAAAATAGACCAAACATTGGAGACCAAATGTTGAGATACAATGCTTGGAGACCAGTGTTTTTTTTTTATCACCTTGCAGATTTCTCCGAGTAAACTTCAGTTATGTAAACTAGTTGCTGGGTAAACCTTAGTTAGCTTTGAGTTGTTTTAACGCATAATTCAAAGAATTTAAGCCTCTCTCTCCTTAATTGTATATATCATGTTACTGTGTGTGTGTGTGTGTGTGTGTGTATGTGTATGTGTATGTTAGTATGTGTATGTGTGTGTGTGTGTGTGTGTGTGTGTGTGTGTGTGTGTGTGTGTGTGTGTGCTGGGGGTAGTAGAGCTAATGTTGGTACTGTTGTTAGTTGAAGATTGCAAGCACATTCCATCCACACCTGGCATAGTTGCCACAGACCACAGCGCATGCTCGCTGCGCACACACACACATACTACCTAGTAGAGACCAGTGAAGAGGCGGGGCCAGGAGCTATGAATCGACCCCGTGTACCTACAGTTAGGTAAGTGCACACACACACGCACGCGCGCACAAGGGGTCTCCCCTACACATCAAAAACTCACCAAAACGAGGACATGGTTTCACTTTACATTGCCGAGGCGTCGACAGTTTTTGAAGGTGGTCAGCGCGTGCGCACTCAACCGCACTATACCCTCAGGGGCGATGTATAATATAGCACCACTACTGTTGTCACTATAGTTTTACACCAGCACTTAAATCCAGCACCAGCAACAAATGCTTGTCTCTACCACCTTGACGGCCTCTCTCTCTCTTCCTCACAAACGCCGTCGTATTTCGTTTAAAACTCCATCACCGACACCTTCCGTCAATAGTAGCAGCTTGAGGCACTAGCAGTAGCGTCCAGGGGCAGCAGGACTCTGGGTGTACAGTGCCAAGTACACAGGGCCGGCAGGGGTGGGCCTCAGGATAGCTTTGCTGCGGAATTTTGCTTTCGCTAATTTCTCGTAGACTGAGCCTTCAGAGTGGACACCAGCGTAGCTCAGGGTTACGAGTGGGTTCTGAAGGAGGCGTCCTGAAGGTATCCTGAAGGAGGTACCCCGGCGGTTGTGAGGAGGAGTTGTGTTCCTGTGTGTGCTCTCCACACTGGCACTCGCCTACACAGTGTACCCCCGGCCTGCCTCGTGTGCCACCAGCCCCGGGGTATTTCTGGCCTTGTCTACTGCCCACCACAGCTTTTGTTGCCCACACTGGGGGCTCTCCACACTGCCCATCACGATCTATACTGCCCTCTCCAAGCACGTTGCACTCACACACACACACATGCAACTTTGATCTACAAACTAGTGTTCTCAACACGTAGCATATAACTTGATGGAAAAGATTATAAGGGAAAAAGATTTGTTGAACATTTTGTTAGCAATAATTTCCTCACAGAGCACCAGCGTGGATTCAGAAATAAAAGGTTGGGCCTTACAAATTTAATAAACTTGATAAAGTCAGACATGAGAGACAGGAAGGGTGGTCTGCATATTGCAAGACTACAATAGCGCTTTTGATACTGTACCTTGTAGAAATTGTGTACGAATGGTATATAATACCGACAAGATGAGATTAAGACACATGTGCAACATCTGGGTATTAAGACACATGTTGCACATGTGTCTTAATCTCATCTTGTAGAAATTCACGAGGATCTATAAAAAATGGAAATAGTGGAGCCCCGCAGGGCTCAGTTTTGGATCCCATACTGTTTCTGAAGTATATTAACACTGAAAAGAGGCATCAACTCCTGTTTATAAGTGTTGGTGGTTGATACTAAAAAATACAACAAAGAAGGATAGATGAAAACTTCGGGAAGACCTGGACACCCTCCAGGCATGACCAAACACAAAGTTACTGCAGTTGATCCCTTCAGTAAAAATAATCATAAATTAGACACGTACAGCATCTGAGTAGCTTAACTATGTAGACGTTTCTCCATCCAGTGACTTAACAGTTCAATACATGGATATAAGCTGAAGTCTGTAGAAATATATACAGTAAACAGTGGAAGACTGGATAATGAGTCCCTCAGCCTAGGAGCAGGTGAAGATACCCAGATGTTACACATGTATCTAGTTCTACATCTCAGAATTGTATACCTATTGATATATAACAAAAATAATGTTATAAAGTAGGATAGAGTGAGAGATTGAGTGGAGAGCACCATCTGGGGGTAACCAGCTGACACAAGACTCTGGTACCTGGAAGCCTTAAGGTTTCCACCAGTGTGCAGTCGAGAGCACCATCTGGGGGTAACCAGCTGACACAAGACTCAGGTACTTGGAAGCCTCAAGGTTTCCACCTGTTTGCTAGATAAACAACTGAGTGTTTGTAGTCAGGTATCTAAACATTTTGCAATAATTGATGAGAATTATATAAAATGTCAACAAGTTGAAGATTAAGAAACATGTCCAACAGTTGGGTATCTTTATTAATGAAACGTTTCGCCTACACAGCAGGCTTCTTCAGTCAGATACAGAAGCAGCAATAGTAATGAAATAAAAGATGTAATCAATCCATCAGCCTAGGAGAAAAAGTGTTTGAGGTGGTCATTCCCTCAGCCTGGAGAAGAGTTCAACTCCATGGACCTGAACTTATGTGCACTATGCCTAAACTTAATCCCTCTAGTATTGCTTCGCTGTCTAATTCACTTGTGTCGTCTAAGTGGCTAGTTTATTATGTACCTGCGTCTCATTTTGTGAGAAGTACAGCAAAAAAAAAAAATATTAGAACACAATGGGTCTGTATCAGCCCCCACTGAGAGAAGTACAGCAAAAAAAAAAATATTAGAACACAATGGGTCTGTATCAGCCCCCACTGAGAGAAGTACAGCAAAAAAAAAAAATATTAGAACACAATGGGTCTGTATCAGCCCCCACTGAGAGAAGTACAGCAAAAAAAAAAAAAATATTAGAACACAATGGGTCTGTATCAGCCCCCACTGAGAGAAGTACAGCAAAAAAAAAAAATATTAGAACACAATGGGTCTGTATCAGCCCCCACTGAGAGAAGTACAGCAAAAAAAAAAATATTAGAACACAATGGGTCTGTATCAGCCCCCACTGAGAGAAGTACAGCAAAAAAAAAAAATATTAGAACACAATGGGTCTGTATCAGCCCCTACTGAGCGTTGTTGCATCACTAGAAAGAAATATTAGTCACTCTATATTTTATAATTACTTAAGTACATAAGTACGATAAGGCATCTAAACTACTGGGAACGGTTGAAGGTCCTTGATCTGTATTCCCTGGAACGCAGGCGAGAGAGATACATGATAATATACACTTGGAAGGTCCTGGAGGGATTGGCACCAAACCTGCACACGAAAATCACTCCCTATGAAAGCAAAAGACTCGGCAGGAGATGTATAGAATACAGTCTCAGAGACAATATCTTATAATTGCTAATAAACATTGGATTGTAATCTCCTCTATATAAAAAAGCTGTCATTTATCTAGTCGATACAAAATATGGATACGCCCTGAAGATTTCAAGATATTTTAACCGTTAACAGCCCTTCAGGGGAGGTTCCTTGATGCTGGTGAGGGGCTCTTGATCTAGGGAATTGAATCTGTGCTCCAGTTCCCCGAACTGAGCCTGAATACCTTCCCCCCTCCACGTGCGCTGTGTAATCCCACGGGTTTAGCGCTCCCCCAAAATTAAAATAATAATTTACCATTAACAGTGAGGTCGTTCTACTTCCTGACCACTCTGAGAATATAAAAGTATTTCCTAACATCCCTGTGACTCATGTTTATTTTAACAGCCAGCTGTGCCCTCGTGTACCTCGTGTATTGTTCCTGTTTCTTTTTTCCGGAGGAAACTTTGTTTCCTTTATGATTCTCTCTCATATTAAGCAACATTTCCCAGGAGGCAGGATTCATTAGGGCGAAAACTTTGGTGGCTCTTAACAACCCCAAGAACAGACAACTTTAGGAACGAACATCTGTCAGCACTTCTACTTCAGCCTTCGTTGAGTGTGGAAGTCTCGCTCCGGTATGAGCATCGTGACAAATTTTCCCTGTTGTCTCTGGGACGTTTGTGCCCATCTACTTGCCCGCCGGGCACGTTACAGGAGGGGCACCTGGTCATCAGCTACTGCCAGCTCCACTTTTCTGCTCTGCGGATCAATCTTCAACGGTTTCGGTGGGAAGCCGGTTACTGAACTCAGGGAAAGTTTGGCGTCCCTCTCTGTTGGCGCTTGGTGAGGGGATCAATCTGGTCTATTTGGTAACTTCCAGTTTCTGTTTCTACTTAAGGTTTAAATTTGCACAGTAAAGTTACTTAGTTGTTTTAACTTTTTAAGACTTAATAAGATATTACAAGGACCCCAATGGAAACAAGTCACTTTGACTTTTTGGGTAATCCTAGGTAAGATAATTGTACTTATGTGTACCTGTGCCTAGATAATCTTACTTATTATTGTTCCTTTTTCGTCCATGGCTCAGTTTTAGGCAATATATCATCTTCATATGAGTAAGACTGCTCAATACGGCGGAAAGTGTAAGTGGCCTTTACTAACCTAACAACAACAAGATCATCAACATCAGCCATTCGCTGCCATTTTTGTGAGCATTTACGACATTTTCTCGCTCATTTCGCCCTGAGTTTGCACATCATGGCACCGGGCAGTGCTGTGGTAGACGCCAGCTGGTTTTAATTTCAGTTCTCGCTTATTTGTGGCATGATACTGCTTTACAAAACCTTGCATGCTGTGTTTGTTTACGTGGGAGTGTCATCATGTGACTTATGTCACGATGCTGATTGGTCTGCTGGTGATCCAATCGAGGGCTGTGATTGGCTGGTTTATCTTGGTGATCCAATCAAGGACTGTGATTGGCTGGTTTATCTTGGTGATCCAATCGAGGACTGTGATTGGCTGGTTTATCTTGGTGATCCAATCGAGGACTGTGATTGGCTGGTTTATCTTGGTTATCCAATCGAGGACTGATTGGCTGGTTTATCTTGGTGATCAAGTCGAGGACTGATTGGCTGGTTTATCTTGGTGATCCAAGCTAGGACTGTGATTGGCTGGTTTATCCTGGTGATCCAAGCAAGGACTGTGATTGGCTGGTTTATCTTGGTGATCCAGGCTAGGACTGTGATTGGCTGGTTTATTTTGGTGATCCAAGTGAGGATATGATTGATTGTTTATCCTACTGATCCAAATGAGGATTGTGGTTGGCTTGTTTATCTTGGTGATCCAAGCAACAGTTGTTATTGAGTGGTTTATCCTGGTGATCCAAGCGAGGGTTGTGATTGTAACTGGTTCATTTATCTTAGTATTTCAAGAAAGGTCTTGTAGATGAATGGTTCAGAGAACCGACATGTTGATAAATTAGACACATGTGCAACTCTTGGGTATCTTTATTGAGGAAACGTTTCGCCACACAGTGGCTTCATCAGTCCATACAAAGGAGAATCTTGAAGAACAGGAGGTGAATGAGGTAATCAGTCCCTCAACCTTGAGTCGATGTGGTCAGTCCATCAATCTTGAATAGAATACGGCATACGGCAGCACGTATGCCGTATTCTATTCAAGATTGATGGACTGACCACATCGACTCAAGGTTGAGGGACTGATTACCTCATTCACCTCCTGTTCTTCAAGATTCTCCTTTGTATGGACTGATGAAGCCACTGTGTGGCGAAACGTTTCCTCAATAAAAATACCCAAGAGTTGCACATGTGTCTAATTTATCAAGAAAGGTCTTAATTGGCTGATTTATCCTGGTAATAAATGAAGGTTGTGATTGGCTGGTTTAGCCTGGTGATCCAAGTAAGAGTTATGGTTTTTATGGTTTGTTCTGGTGAACCATGGCTGATAGCTCCAAGTTCTTGAATCAAGAGCCCTTCACAACATCAAGGCACCCCTTTCCCATTCCTTGAAGGAATTTCAAACACACAAGTACTGACCAGTGAACAACACACTATAAGTGTGATATGGAAACCTGTTAAATGTTTTGCACTATAGTAAAACTAGTGAGCCATCTTCTACTTAAATTCAGCATATGCCTCTTAACTTTCCTATGCCTTGTTTTTAATACTTCTTATTGCTATAATATTTCCTTCAATATTGTCTAATATTTTAAGAGACAAAATATTAAAATATTAACTTAAGGTTATGTAAAATTACCATAATAATGTCTCCAGTATTTTTACATATATA